CAGCCCCCGGGCAATTTTTCTTTACATGGCAAGGAACCCCGCAGGAAAAGCAAATGGACCGCCCCTCTTTGTTTTCTCGCCATACTGCGCCAGGATTATAGATGGGACGTCCGTCTTTGCCTTCCCTCCATCCCGTCCCCGGGGCATAAATCTGGTGATCTACCGTAATCGGCCGAACAGGCTTAGAAGTAAAGGGTTCGAACAATTTCCCGCGAGGCTTGGCTGGACCGCTCATCTCTGCAGCCTGTTTCGCACTAGAATTTGAAGTCGAAAGAGAAACTTCTCCACGCGGTCTCTGCCTCTCCGCCCAGGGGGCGGATACTTCCTTGCTAGCTCCTTCCTTGTTGCTATAGTCTTCCAATAAGGTTATTGCTCTCTCCAGCGTCTTCGGGTTTTTCTTCTGTATCCAATCTTTTGTGCCAGCTCCCAGGGACTGTACCAACTGTTCCAATACCACCGCGTCAACTATCTTTTCTCCACTGTTCTCCGTCGGTTTCAACCACCGCATAGCGTTAGCTCGCATCCACTGTGCTACCGTGCGAGGGTGGGTTCCCGGTTTCCATTTGAGCTCCCTCAGTCGCTTCCGATACGACTCTTCTGTCAGATTAAGCGTGCTCAAAATGGCGTTTTTAACTGTCTCGTATTGAGTTGCCTCTTGCACACTTAGGGTATCCACTACCTCCTGCAACAGTCCAGTCAAACAAGGGATGAGGACTAAAGTCCACTGGTCTCTTGGCCATCCCGCTGCTAAGGCGACCCTCTCAAAAGTGTGCAACTAAGCCTCTGGATCGTCAGTATTGGTCATCTTTTGCATTCGGATAGGGGCCGGTCCAGCCACTAAGCTTCCTTGCACACTCGCCACGTTTTTCGCGCTCTTTTCCTCTTCACCTCCTTGCCCTCGTAACTGTCTCGCCATCAATATCTGTTGCTCTGTCAAACTCTCGATAAGCCTAGCTTGTCTTTCCATGGCTTCTCTTATTTTAGTCATCTCTTCCTTTCCCACCTGAAGTGTACCCCCTGCGCCGCATTGGGCACCACTGTGACAAGTGGGTACGGTAGCCGGGGGGGTGAGTGGTAAAGGCGGGAAAGAGACGAGGAGGCGATTCTTCTTCAAAATCAACAAGTTTATTTGAATAAGAATTTAACTCAACTGGATCAAACGGATCCCTCAAAACATCGTCCGATAACAAATGGTATCTTTTGGGGCGCCGCTCTTCCACATTCCCATCTATGTCTACCAGAGGGCCGGGCCAAAGTGCTCCCGATCTGTCATCAGCCATAGTGGGATGCTCCTTACCGCGCACACAGTCCCGCAACAAGGGTGGCGGGCCCAGTCTCTCTCCGGAGGCTTCTGCTGGAATTCGGGGCCTGGTCTGATCACCTTCCGGCCACCAAGGAAATTCTGGGGGTACACTGACACGATCCATTCCAAAGGATCATACGCGCGGCCGCGACTGCCTGGGGGCAAGGGTTCTGG